TATAAATTTCTTCGCAATATCATTCAATTATTTTTAATAAAAAATAAAATTATTACAGTAATTCAATTATTTTTCTAAATAATAAAATTCTTTCTAGGAATTCAATTATTTTCATAAATAATAATAAAACTCATCGCAGAATTTTAATTATTTTTAATAAAATTTTAAACAAATTTATCGATAAATGTAATTATTATTAAAAATTTTTATTAAAATTCGTTAAACGAATTCAGTTATTTAAAAATATGTTGATAAAATTCTTGATGAGAATACAAATTTTGAGAAACATTCAAATATTCAATCAATTTTTTTGTATTTAAAGTTTTTATTTTCCAATATATATTTAATTGAAGAATTTACGAATAATTGAAATTTCGTAAAACTGAATATCGTAAACAAATGGATTTGAAAATTGTCAAAGAACTTTTTCGGAAATTATTAAAATTAATCGATTTAAAGAAGATTTTTCGTTACAAATTCTTGAAAATAATAATTCAATTATTTTTATCACTCGGTCATCTTTAATTATTATAAAACATGAAGAAATCAATCACTCTGAGTCGAAGACTCAAACTTATCGATATCTTCGTGTTTTATAGTTATGAAAAATTTTATTTATATTTTTAAGTAAAATTTTCTCATATTTGACTCGGAATTTTTATATTTTTTCAATATAATTGCTCCGTAAATGTTCTCAAATTTTTCATTTTTCGTTCGTAATGTTCGTATTTTTATAAATACTTTATCGCACTGGTTCGGGTTCTGAGTAGACTTCAAGTGAAATATATCTTCTTTCAAGGAAAATAAATAAAATTGTAAGGAAAATATTGATAAATATTAAAAGAAAAGAGAAAGCAAAAAAATTGATTTAATATTTTATTTATTATTGTATTATAAAATAGAAATTTAGTTATCTGGTGTTGATTTTGCCTTTTAATAATGTAAAGGGAATAGAATTGAAATTTTATTATACAGCATAGAGACGCGGAGGAGAAATAAAAGAGTTCGTAGACTATGAGAAATGGACTGCTTAAATATTTATGGTGCTAAAAAATAAACGGGGATTTACGTAGTTCGCCAAGGGTAAAAAGGGCTTCGGTGAGATTAGCCACACTCCATCGATGACTTCACTTATACCCATTTCACCCTTTTCATACATGTACATCTACGATTTACTAATTACTTTTTTTTTAGTTTATCTCTTTTAAAAAAGAAATCCTGTCAGAGCGAAATGGCATTTTTCGGAATCAGTTCCTTAAAATATTTTTTATAATATTTTTTATAATATTTTTTTGTTAAAAAAATATCTTGAAACAAGATGAAAAGATTCTAAAAGGATAACAATAAAAACTTAGAAAAAATTTCGAACCGCATTCTGTAAAGTATGAGGAACTGATTCCTAAATTAGTTATAAAGGATGTTAATAAAAAAAAATTCGTAACACAATTTACTTCCCCCTATGAATTTAAAATTAATACTGCAAATTCTAATCACCCTCTTGGTAACAAAACACAGTTCCTGGAGGGTAAATTTATAAATTATTGTCAAGAAATGTTAGATGCTTTAAAAAAAAAATTATCCAACGTTAATTTCAAAATCAACCAATTAAATATACAATAGTAGGCGCAGATATCGTTGTGTAAAATGTACTAATTCGTGAACTGCGTAGCGTCGTCATGCGCAATTAAAGTACCAATTATAAGAGATAAAGAATGCCAAAGGCAACCCCAATAAAATTAGCATGAAATACGGTGTTCTCTCGTGCCCAGGCCCATAGGGCATGTATACACGTCCGCTTGAAGAACAATAAAGTCCTTATCACAGTCACAAATTAAAAATAATTATTTTTTAAGCTGAAAAATACCACCCGACCCCCTCACCCCCTTTTTATCTTTTCTTTCACTCTCAATTTTTGTAAGGAGCAAAAGAAAAATCTAACGACATTTTCCTTCCTCGAGGAAAAAAAAAATACCTATTACCATTCCGATGAGATTCTTGTCAATGAATTATCGGCGTCTCTTTTAACTGATGCGGGAGAAAACTCCCCTTTTCATTCTGATTCAACCCTTTTTTCTCTTCTTCTTTTTTTTTTTTATTCCCAAGTTCTTTCTTGCAATAAGGACGATCGTTCCTGTCCCCGCGGGGCGAAAGTCGTTTTATAGTCCCTGATTATCAGAAGAGAGGTAGGTACGTGATGGAAAATGTTCTTAATGGATTCTGGCAGTCTTATCAAGGATGAAAAAAAAATCACGCAGAATTTTAACCCTTTTTAGAGCAAAAAAAAAAAAAAAAATTCAAATATTTACAAAATAAATCTAAAATTAAATTTCATTGGGGGGGTAAAAAGAATTTTGTTTTAATGATACATATTTTTGGCAAAAAGATTGATTTCCAAGCTGAAAAAGTTCTATAGAATTTCACTAGAATGTTTCTATAGAATTTCTACATGAATTCTATTAAATTTTAGTGATTTTTAATTAGAAAGAATTTAAATTCGTAAGATAATATTTTTCAACTTTATATAATTAAATTTTACATTTGATTTCTATATGACAAAATTTAGGGAAACAAATAGTTTATATCATTTAAATATTTATAATTCATTTAATATAGTAACAGGGCTCGAACAAGTAAAAGTATTTAAAAATACGGACCAAAAAAAAAAAAAAAAACATTTTACTTAAAAAATAAATTAAATTTTATCACAACAATTTTTAACTAAAATTCTTCCTTAAAATCAATTAATTTTCGAAAATAATTTATATAAATAGAAAAATAAATAATTTATTGAACAATTGAATGTTTCTTAAAATTCAATTCTCATAAAAAATTTTACCAACATATTTTTAAATAATTCAATTCTTTCGACGATTTTTAATAAAATTTTTAAGAATAATTACATTTTCCGGGAAATTCAATTAAAATTCTATTAAAAATAATTGAAATCCTGCATTAAGTTTTATTATTTTTGAAAATAATTGAATTCCTAAGAAGAATTTTACTATTTTTGAATATAATTAAATTTCTGCGAAGGATTTTATTATTCATTAAAATAATTGAATTTCTGTAATGATTTGTAAATTTTCCAGAATTAAATTTTTTTCTAAAAAAACTAAAATTAAAAAATAAAATAGTAAATAATAATAATAATTTAATTAATAAATAAAGAACTAAAATTCTTCTATAAATCCATAATTTTTTATAATTTTTGAAAAAGTTTTATGAAAATTTTCAAATTCATTTGTTTTTAACTGAAAATTTATTTTTAAATCAATTTTTATTTGAAAATTCTACTAGACTTCAATTATTTAAATAAAAAAAAATAATTTTTTGAATATTTGAATGTTTCTTAAAATTTGCATTACTCTTGATAATAATTGAATTTCTGCAATAATTTGTAACTTTTCGAAAATTAAAATTTTTTTTCTTGTTTTTAAATTAAATTCTTCAGATTTTCAAAGATTTACATTTGAAACCTTTTCAAAATTCAATTATTTCTAAAAATTCACGCACTAATGCTTTTAATAATATTCAATTATAATCTAAAATTTTAACTGAAATCCATTTTTAAATCAATTTTTATTAGAAAATTCTACTAGAATTTAATTATTTTAATATAAACAAAACAATTTATTGAATAATTGAATGTTTCTTAAAATTCAATTCCCATAAAGAATTTTATCAATAAATTTTTTCTTGATGAATTCGATTAAAATTGTATTAAAGAAAATTGAAATAATACAATAAGTATTATTATTTATTAAAATAATTGAATTTCTATACAGAATTTTATTATTTACGAAAATAATTGAATCCATGTGAAAGATTTATTATTTTATAAAAATAATTAAATAGTTACGTAGAATTTTATAGAATTCTTTTAAAATCATTGAATTATTTTGGAAAATTTTATTAAAATAGTAGATATTAAAAATCATTAAATTGAGGAAAATAATTGAAATTTTGTCAAGAATATCATTAAAATTTTTGAAAATAATTGAATTTTGGAGAAGAATTTTATTATTTCTAAAGAAAATTGAAACTTTGACGAGAGATTTTAAAAATTTTTGAACATAATTGAATTTCTGTTAAGAATTTTATTACTTTTAAAAATAATTGAATTACTAAAAAGAATTTTATTATTTGCGAAAATAATTGAATCCCTGTAAAAATTTTATCATTTATGTGAATAATTGAATGATTTCGAAGAAATTGATAAAAAAATTGTAAATAATTGAATTCCTGTAAAGTGTTCTTTATTTTATGAAAATAATTAAACGTTTGCGTAGAATTTTATTAAATTTTTTTCAATATTCTTTTGGAAAATTTTATTAAAATAGTAGATATTTAGAATCATTGAATTAAGGAAAATTTTTGAAAATAATTGAAATTTTGCCAAGAATTTTATTAAAATTTTTGAGAATAATTGAATTTCGGAGAATAATTTAATTATTTTTACTAAACTTTTTACTTTGTTTCAAATAAAGTTTATGTAGGTCAAATAAATTTTATGTTGCTTCGATAAATTTTATTTGGTTCAAGTAAAATAATTTATTTGGTTCAAATAAATTTTATTTGGTCCAAATAGTTTTATTTGGTGCAAATAAATTTTATTTGCCTAACATTGATTTCATTTGGTTTAAATAAATTTTATTTAGCTAACATGGTTTTTATTGATTTAAATATGTTTATTTGGTTTGAATAAAACTTTCATTCTTATAGAATAAAATTTTTACTTAAATCAAAAATAAAAAAAAGACAAAATTATACTTTTATTTATCTCAAATAAATTATATTTGATGCAAAATAAAATTTTCCTCTAGATGCAAATAAAAATGATAATAAAATATATAAAGTATTAAAAAGAAAAAAAAAGAAGTAAAATAAAATATATACAAATAGAATAAAATATAAAAAATACCAATTATCATTATTTGGAAAATATTTTTGAACCTCGAACTTAAAATGATTTAATAGTAAAGTAAAAATTTCAATTGCAGGAAAAGTATTGTCCGTTGGTTAGTGTGGCATTCACGAGAAGGCAGCACCTACTGGCAAGAAAGTCGATTTCAAACTTCAAACATTTCAAGGTAAGGAAGAAAAAAATTTAAAATATGAAAATAAATGAAAATTTTTGAATTTGAAAATTAAAAATTAGTAATAAATCAAATAATCAATGCAATCTATAATAGATGCATGCGTTTAGGGTCAAGGTTCGCTCTCACTGAGGGCAAAGGTGGCGGACGACAATTTAAGGGTTGTAAGACGCCTTGACCTTGGGTCACCAACCCCCATTTATACTCTATTACCACACAACGTTTTAGAGCAAAGATTTACGATTCTACGACCAATTTTCTCGATTTAGCTCATAAATTAATGTTTTTATATATAAAAAATTTTTAATTTACTTTTTCATTATTAATTTTCATGATCAAATACAATTTTGAAAATTACCTTAAGTACAACAAGAAAATTATTTTTTTCCAAACCCCCTTTTTTCTCATTCTTCATAACAATGATATCTCTATATTTGAGGAAAAGATTTTTAATACAAGAAAGTTCATATTTATCGTTTCGTGTCTTATTTTTTAATTACATTTATCTGCAAACAGACAAGAAATAATTTTCATCTCGAGGACTCTGCGGGTACACGGGCGAATTACCAGAGCCGATGTAAATTACCACTAACCGACGAGAGTCTTGGGTCTTTATCTTCTTTATCTCTCGAGTATTTTAGCGGTTATTTTTTCCGGTAGGAACTCACGGTGACCCTCTCTCACTACTCATCTAAGAAGACAAGACTTCTTCGCGAGAAATTAGCTATGGCCTTAAACGAGAAAATTTTTAATTATTCCTTATCGAAAAGTAATCTACCAGATTCTTTTTCTTTTTCCCCTGAAAAAAACCCTTCAACATCAAGCTTATAAATTTTTTCCCCGTTTGAAATTAATTTTTACTTTTGAAGTATAATTGAAAATAATTGAAAATGTTTGAAAATAGTTGAAAATGGTTGAAAATTGTCACAAATGGTCACAAATGGTAAAAAATGGTCAAATATGGTCAAAAATGGTCAAATATGGTCAAATATGGTCAAATATGGTCAAATATGGTCAAATATGGTCACATATGGTCAAAAATGGTTCAAAATGGTCGAAAATGGTTACAAATGGTAAAAGTTGATTAAAAGTGGTTAAAGTTGATTAAAAGTTGAAAATTAAGTTCAGGGACTAAAATTTCGGGAAGTTTAAAAAATAGAGACGCTTAAATATTCGAGTAATGGTATTAAAAAAAGGCTGTACCGTGAGAGCCGTCGATGATAATATAAATAATTCAGTTAGCTACGTTGGAAGCCTTATTAGTTCGAAGGAGCTATAAAAAAAACTTATTGCGGTACCCAATTCGCCCTCAAGTAACAACAGGACCACAGGAAAATTTATGCAAATAAAAAGAAGAAAATCTGTAAAAAGAAATATTTAATATATATTTTCGGGGGGTAAATAAAAATCCCAACAAAAAACATCTTTGATGCAAAAAAAAATTCCGCCAAATAAAAGTTTTTGCAATTGTCCAAACAATTACTGAAATAAAAGTTTGCCAAGTAAAATTTATAACTAAAGTTTTTATATTGATTTATTTTATAAAGTTTACTAATTTTATACTTAAAACAAAAGGAACAAAAAAAACTAATTATATCATATAGCTAAAAGAATATTCTAAATCATAATTTTTTAACATTTTCATTTTCGTTATATTTATTAAGAATTTTCAAAAAAAAAAAAATTTTTAAACGCCTTATTTTTCTGACGTTTGTAGCAAATCTATTTTTTGTTAAATTTTTTCCTACAAAACCGCAGTCACGCTTTTATTTTACAGATAAAAGATATTTTCGTTCTTAAAAACGAAAATAAAAATATTTATTACTTTAGCTTCAAAATTAGATTATTTGTTGGTACAACTGTCTCATAAGAAAAAATTAATTTATTAAAAATCTATGCATATAAAAACTGTAGCAATTTTATTAGTTTAAGAAAACTGGGAAAAAATAATATAGCAAATTCAGAAAAGGGGGAGGGGAGAAAAATGACGAATTTAAAAATTTGGGGCGTAGGATTAATTAAAGGGAAGGAAAAAGTGAAAAACAAGGGGATTAGGTAAAAAAAAAGGGACTAATGCAGTGAACCTTGTAATATTTCTTTTAATTACTTTAGGTGATTCTTCAAAATCCTTCCATTGTTCTAAAAAATATTTGATTAATAAAAATTTTAGAGAACCATTTTTATCATCTAAAATTTTATTTTTTAAACATTCAAATGAACGAAACGTTTTTCTATTTAAATATTTTTTGAAATTACTGACACCAAAAAGAAAATTAATTAAAATTAAATTTTTTCTTTAATGAAAAATCCTCATTTTAAAATACAAAACAATTTTTTGGATATATTAAAATTTATTGAAGAAAAACTTTGCTTATCTTCTTTTTAAACATTCACTAATAAATAATTTTTTTTTTTTTTTTTTTTTTTTTTTTTTTTTTTTTTTTTACTCGTTACACTTGTAGTTTTTCTACTGGTCAATGGATCATAAAATTTAGAGATATTTTTAAAGTATAATATTAAATATGACAAATAACAAAGTTGGCAAATTGCGTTACATTTAGTCTTCGGTTACGTGGCACTAAGTTTAAAATAAAAAAAAAAATCTTGAAGTTCGTCTGATTATTCCTGTGTATTAAATTTACGAATAAGTTTGACACCAAGCCAAGGAGGTAGGCGCATATATAATTTTAAAAATCTAATAAATATTTATTTTAATTACTCCGTCGGTAATATTTACAAATTGTAAATTAGTATTGCTTAACATAACAGAAACAACGCTCCCTCTTTCTGTACAAATTTCTAATAAAATGTCATTCCATATGTGTGTGTGTAAACATCACATTTTCATAAATATTTCAAAATCATGAAGAACTTTTGGGTTGAATTTTTTTTTTAAATTGTAAATCTCACCTGCGGACATAAAATGAGAGTACTTTGAGATAGATTAATAAAGTTTAACTAAATTTGTTTTGGATTTAAAATTTTGCAAAAAAACGTTTTTTGACCATAATTTTAAAAAAAATGTTAAGACACCTATAAATGTTTTTCCATAATTTTGTAGAGTTTTTTTAGACGCATCTTTTGAGCCCTAATTGAACATTTTTCGTCCATATTAACCGGAGATATTAAACTTTTAAAAATCAAAAATTTTGGAAAATGAGACTTTTGAAAATTTTGTTGAAAAATATCGTTAACAACTTGTAGACCATTAAAAATCGCTTCGATTAACCTATTCTTGAACCTAATTCGATCATTGATTTAGAAAAATAAACAAATTATTTATTGTAGCGTTAAATTCTCTGTTACTCAATAGAGACTGAAATTTAATTAAATTATTAGTCTAGTCAATAATTATGTATACTTTTCAGAGCTTTAAGTATCTATTGGAAAAAGTTGCAATACATTGCGTTTATCAATCATGATAAGACTTGCAATAATCTTCTTTCTAATCTCCATGATTGAAAGCCAAAATTGTGACTATGATATTGATCAGTTAAAAGAAATAAAACAAATTTTCCATGATTCTGAAAAACGAATGAAAAAAGCAACTCAATGTCAAAGTAAAAATGCGGCAATTGTCATAGGAAATGGAAGAGGGGGCAAAAGTACACTAATTAATTACTTAATGGGAAATGAATTGGTAGCTACTCAATCTAACAAATATGAGGACATTAAAATAAATAAAGCTAACAACAATATCAGAGGACCAGAAATTGGTTCTGGAACACTGTCAACTACTACAATTCCCACAAAATGGAACTCAATAAGGTCAGAATTACATAATTTGGACATCTGGGATAGCGCTGGATTTGCGGACAATAGAAAGAAAATGCAAGATTTAAATAATTCCTTTCATCTCTATCATTTGACAAGAAAAGTCGAAAATCTAAAACTTATTTTAATTATCAGTTTTGATGAAATTATTAATGACAATGTTGATCAGATGAGAAGACTTTTAAGTTCTTTAGAAAGATATTTTAATAACACGTTTGAAGTTATTTTTCCAGCTATATCAGTAATTATCTCAAAAGCACCTGAAATGGATGATTTTGAAAATTTAATCGATTATAAATACATAAATACTAAATTAAATAATAGTTTTTTATCAAGTTCACAATTGGATGTATCCCCAGTTTCAAAAAGATTTATACGGAATATAATAGAGAATAACAATCGTTTAGCCATTTTCAAGCGAGCACAACAAACGGGGACTGTTACTTCTGATATCGATGTTAATATTATTCAAGCTATTAATAACTGCGAGAGCATAAACAAATCAATTCGCCAAAATATAGGTTTAACATTTTCACAAGAATCAGAAAATTGCCTACTAAATGCCAGTCAGATATTGTTTCCCATACAAGAAATTTTACAGTTTCAGAATGCACTGTTCAGCTCGTTAAATGAAAATTTCGATACTTCTTGTCAATCCAATAATACTATTACTTTACAACTCAATAGTGACGAATTGAAAAAAATCAACGAAAGTTTGAATACTTTGACGAATAATTCTAAAACAGAGGTTAAAATTAAAACTCTGGAAATGATTAGTGATAATTTGAAAAATTTCATCAACAACAATGATATTGATACTAAAATAAGTCTAATTCAATTTCTTGATTTTATACTAAAAAGAGATGAAATGAGTTATATATCCACTCCAGTAAGTGATCTTGTTGATTCCGTAAAAGTGAAAATCCGCTCATTGTTAACATTATGTTCATTTAAATTAAAGGAAATAACAGAGGTTGATTATGAAAAAAAAAAAGTTGAAGGTGCTAAGGACTCAGAAAGAGTACTGAATAATACGATTAATAATATATCAAATCTCAATGTACGTAAAGAAGAACAAAGCGCTTGGCAACAATTTCTGAAAGACCTTGCACGCTTTCTTCAATTAGACGGAAGTGCTATGACTATGGGTTAAGTTAAACAATTGTAAACTTGCAAAGATGTTATTATCTACTGAATGTAAACAATCGTTTCAAGTGTTTTCAAATTCTTTCAGGTAATATTGTTCCTTACGATCGCACACAACTATTAAACCAATCATGTTTCTGAAAAAAAATTAGTAAACAAACAAGTAAAAATAAAACAGTAGTCAGACACCTTCAAAAAACCGTAGAAAAAATTTTTTTTTTAAATTCTAGAAAATAATAATTGAATTAAAATAATGAAAATAATTTTAATGAAGTAACATTGACTTAATTCGTTAATATAATTACAATTAGTAAAATTAATAAAATAAATCAATATAAAAACTTTAATTTTAAAGGACACCGCACTAAATACACTAAAAATGGCTTTCGGTTAAAATTCTTAATATTTTCAAAATTTTTAGTTAAAGGTTTTCTGTTTAAAAAAATAATTAAGCGAAGGTCAAGAAATAAATAACCGAAAGCCATTTTCAGTGTGTTTAGTGCGGGGTCCTTTTACTTGGTAAACTTTTATTTTAGTAATTGTTTATGGACAATTATAAAAACTTTTACTTGGCGGACGATTCTGCATCAAAGATATTTTTGTTGGGATTTTAAAACTTTTTGAGAAATTTCAAATTTTTATCAAATGCATGAAATAATATTAAAAGGGAAAGTGTTTAAAAATTTATTTTCAATTTTTTTTTTTGTTTTGGGAGAAAAATTAAATTATTTCAAAAAATTCGAAATGTATTAAAATTTTTTGAAACTCATATTGAGATTTCAACACAATTAATTGTATTCCAGAATTTTTTTGACAAATCCATTAAGTAGTTTAGTCTTTACGTTTGTCTAAATTGAAAAAAAATACAATATTTCGGGAAAAATCCAAATGTTTAAAAAAATACGAAATGTATTAAAATTTTCTAAAATATTGAATAAACTTATAAAAATAATGTCTTTTATTATTCTTTATTCATCAAAAAAGAAAAATTGAGCAAAATCGTTAAGATTTACTCGAGTTATTACATTTTATCATCGATAAACAGTCGATTATTTGGAGAATATTTATTTGTTTTTTTTTTTATTTTTACTTGGCGGTGATTCTCTCCCTTTCGTCAAGCAAAAAAAAACAGAAAAAAATTTGTTAAGAAAGAAAAGTTGAAGAAAGTAGATGAAAAACAAAGATCCATTAAAAGAAATTTCTTTTTTTTTTTGCCCGAAAGAGTAAAAACGCACGAAATTGTTACTTTCTTCAGTGCAGTGATGTCTCAGTGATTGCCATGAAACAGGCGTGGAGACACAAGAGAGGTCCTGCTGCTGTATGAAAGCAAAGACTGGCGAGTAGTAAAAGAAAGAGAGAACAAAAAAAAAAAAGAAAAAAAAAGAGAAAAAAAATGCCTAAAGCGATGAAACGAGGGATGTAACTCGAGAAGCGATCCATAGCCATTTAGAAGTTTTAATAACATTACGATATCTATATGTACGTTCTTGGGTGGATGGGAAAAAAAATCGACAGGAACCCCCGCGAGCGCCCGTTTCTACTTCGCAATTCTTTTTCCACTCCCACTTGAAGCCATTTCTTCTCACTCACTCACTCACTCACTCTTCTTCTTCTTGCTGCTGCCTTCCATCCGGTAGCGCTCCTGGGAACCACAGAAGACGAAGGCAAGAAGAAAGTTTATAAAATATTTAAAAGTACGGAAACGTCTCCTATCGCCCGGGGCGATAAATTTCCACTTACATTTTATTTTTCGTTCGCTTGCTCGGTCGCTCGTTCGTTCCGCCATCCTTAGAATGAAAGAAGAAAGAAAAAAAAAGAAGAAAATAAAAAAAAAAAGAGGGGAACGGGCGCTGGATAAAATGTAGGGAAACACGAAACGGGGATTGACGATCAGAGTCTAATTTTTAAAAGCTAAAGAGCACTTGTTTCCTTTCATGCGCTTTCTTTTCCAGAGACTCTGATGTAATGGTGGTAATTTAAATCAGGGTTGGTAAGGAAAAAAATGATTTACTATCGAGCAATTATTTTCCAAAAAATTTATTATATACTTTCATTTTTATTTGAAAGAAAGGTATTTTTTTAAAACAGGTATTTTTATTTGAAACAAAGGTATTTTTTTTAAACAGGTATTTTTATTTGAAACAAAGGTATTTTTTTTAAACAGGTATTCTTTTTTAAAATAAGGAATACTTCCTTTAAACGAAGCTATCCTTTTTTTTAAAAGAAGGTTACATTTCAAAAAAAAGATTTCATTTTTAAAATAAACGTTTCGTTTTGTTTTTTCTAAAGTAGAATAACAGGCTTTGTACTCGATAATTAATTTTTAAAAAGTAGCTTAAAGACAGAAAAAAGTAGTAAAAAAGTAGCTATCGAAAAATTAAACTTGACAACTCAATTTTTTTTAAATTTCTTAATTACATTCAAAAATAGAATAATTTTCTAAAATAAATATTTAAATTCCAATTTATTTTGTCTACAGGAATAAAAATATTTCAAATCATTTTAATGTTACGCACTTTTGAAATTTAACTATTTTTAAACAAAAGTAATTCTTTCAAAATTCAATCATTTTTTTTTTTTTTTTTTTTTTTGAAATTTATAAATAAAATCATTCAAAACTTTAATCATTTTATTTTATTCAATTCTAAATAAATTTTTATTAGAAAGTTCTGCGAGAATGAAATTATTTAAATACAAAAATAAATAATTTATTGAATAATTAAATATTTATTAAATTTGAATTCTTATAAATAATTTTATCAACATTTTTTTAAATAATTGAATTTTTACGAAGAATTGCATTAAAATTTTTTATAATAATTAAATTAGTTCAAGAAATGTGATTAAAAATTAATTGTAAATAATTATTCCACTCTAAGAAACAGATTATATCACATTTTTTTAAATAATTGAATTTTTTCGAAGAATTTTATTCAAATATTTAAGAATAATTGCGGTTTTAGCGGAATTAATTTAAAATTATATTAAAAATAATTGAAATCCTGCGATGAGTTTTATTGATTTATATGAAAATAATTGAATTTTTGTCACCGAACTTTAATAAAGTTTTAAAATTAATTGCATTCTTAAGAAGAATTTTAGAAAAATCTTTTCAAAGCATTGCTTTTGTTCAAAAAAATTTATGAAAATTGTGTTTTAAATAATTGAATTTCTTTGAAAATAGTACATTATTTTTGAAAATAATTCAATTCTTTCAAAAAATTTTAAATCCTGTGATGAGTTTTAATATTTATAGAAATAATTGAATTCATACAACGATTATTATCAAAATTTAAAAAATAATTGAATTCCTGAGAAGAATTTTATTATTTATAAAAAAATTTAATTCTTGCGAATAATTTTATAAAAATCTATTAAAATAATTGAATTTTCTTTCGAAAAATATTAGGGAAATTCCGATTTCAATAAATTTTTCAATTAAAAACAATTTATTGAACAATATAAATTTTTTAACTTTCAATTCTTATAAAGAACATTCTCAACATTTTTTAAAATAATTAAATTTTTACGAAGTAATGAATTAAAATTAAAAAATTATACAAATATAAAATTAAAACAAATTATATTGAATTTTTTCCTTATTAGAAAATTATAAATTACCTACTTATGAAAATAATTAAATTTTTGTCAACCGAACTTTAATAAAGTTTTTTAAATGTTTGCACTCTTGAGAAAAATTTTTGCTAAATATTTTTAAAGAAATGATTTTGTTCAAAAAATTTATGAAAAATATTTTTTAAATAATTGAATTTCTTTGAAAATTGTATATTATTTATGAAAATAATTGAATCCTTAAAAAAAAAATTATTAAAATTATATTAAAAACAATTCAATTATTCTAAAATATTTCATTAAATTTTTTTAAATAATTGAATTCTTTCAAGGAATATTATTGAAATTTTTAAGAATAGTTGCATTTTTCGCTAAATTTATTTAAAATCGTATTGAAAATAATTGAAATCCTGCGATTAGTTTTAATGTTTATAAAAATAATTGAATTCTTAGCACGATTATTAATTAAATTTTAAAAAATAATTGAATTTCTGAGAAGAATTTTATTATTTATAAAAATAATTGAATTCTTGCGAAGAATTTTATAAAAATCTTTTTAAATAATTGATTTTTTTTCGAAGAATATTTGGAGAATTCTTTTTTAAATAATTAAATTCTTGCAAAAATTTTTTTATTAATAAAAATAATTGAATGTTTGCGAAGAATTTTATAAAAAATTTTTTTTTAAATTATGCAATTCTTTTGCGAAATTTTTTATTAAAATATAGTAGATATTAAAATTTATTGAATTACCCTCTAAATCTGAATTAGTGCAGATTTATTTACCAATTTGAATTAGTAGCAGTTTAACTACTAATTAACTACTAATAACTAACTAATTAATTTAACTACTAATTAATTAATTACTAATTAATTAACTACTAATTTAACTACTAATTCATTTAGTAGAACGTATTTTTTACTATTTCAAATTAGTAAAAGGCTCACTAATGAATTAGTACTTTTCTACTAATTCAATTATTAGAATTCTAATTCTAGTAGTTTTCTACTAGCAATTATTAGAATTCTAATTTCAGTAGTTTTCTACTAGAAATTAGTAGTAGTAAAAAATTAGTAAAACATTGGTAAATGAACCCACACTATTTTTCCAGTAGTGAACTATTAATTCAGATTTAGAGAATACGAAAAATTTGTGAAAATAAATAAATAATTGAATCGTTTTAAAGAATTTGAATCAAATTTAAATAATTTTTTCCAATAACTTTATTAAAAAATTTTTAAAAATAATTTTTTTCTATTTCAACTATTAACAAATTGAAAGTAGTGTAAATTCTCAAAAAATGGAAAAAAGTATCTTTTAGTGTAACAAATAAAAAAAAGAGTATCCAAATAGTAGCAAATCGTAAGAAAAAAAAAGTAGTAAATAGTAGGTTTTTAGTATAGATGAGTGCGAGGCCCTGGAATAATGAGATGTTTATGGTTTATAAATTGATGAGCGGATTTTGGGGTATGGTTGTGACAACGAGAGCTGGAAAGTTTGACAGTGGCCGACCACAAGAATTTCTCGGCACTGGGATGGTTTATCAATCCACCCTACTTCTACAAAGAGGGTGG